GTACGATTGTCCGGCGTAAAAAACTGTAAAATAGATAAGTACATGCAAAGGGTACACGCGCGCTCCCGGAATCCCGGAGTGGCGAGAGATACCGGCCCCTGCAACGAGCCGGGCGATATATAAATTAAGCGCCACCGATTTGCGCCAAAGTCGTGCCATGTCCACGCAATAAGTACACGCACATCCTCGAGGATACATATACCCAAGGTACAACTAGAGCCTGCGAAACGTGAGTATCATCTGCATATATGTATAGGGATACAATCGCACAGGTGGGCAAAGGGGCTTTTTTCGTGTCTTTTTTTTTTTTTTTTTTCTTTTTTTCACACGAGCCCGCCAAAGTACCGTTACGTCGGAGATTGATCCTTCAAAGGGATGGGAGAGGTTCTCTTGTTCGCTCTCGCCCGCGAATACAAACGAGAGCGTGGAAACTGACGTCGGGTCTCACCTTTTGTTTTTTGTTTTTTTCCACCCTTTCGCCACTCGAGCCATGAGCGTATTTTTTGTTTGTTTAAGGAGCGAACCATTCGGTGAACCAAAAATGATATTCGTGTCGCAACCATATATAATACGCGCTTTCTCGCACTAGCCCATTGTCTTTGTGGTGTGCAGCACACGCGCGTCTCCCGTTCCACTTTATATACGTTCGTCCGTTTGTTCCTCGTTTTTTTTTTTTTTTTTCGCATTCACCGTGTGTATTGCAATGTTGCGTAAAAATATATATGTATATATATATATGTCCTCCCTTGATTTGCCGGACCGCCAAGGTTATACGCGTGTACCAAAGTTGCACAATTCCATACGCTTGAAAAAAAAAAAAAAAACCCTCCTGAAGGAGGCGTACTTAGCAATTAGTAGCCCCTCCGGACCTTTAGTACACGTCGCGTTAAAAAGTCAAGTGCAGGACTTGCGTGCATATGCACGGAAGCGATTGCTTCTCCTTTTTTCGAGAGGGGATGAAAGAGGAAAAAAAAAAAAAAACAAAGTGTCAAAGAGGCTGTGGGTCGAGCTTGGCACACCCTTTGCGCGCAAGTGTGTAAACATTGATGAAAGGGAGAAAGAGATAGAGCCGCCGTCACGAGTATGCACAAGTATAAGGGACGTATATATTGTATAATCCACACCGATAGGTACGTGAGCTCCGAAAATTTGGTATTCCACGTGTCTCGCTCTAATCTTGAATGTTATATACCTACGCCGATGCTATATATATATATATTGAAGGAGGGAGGCGCGGTGTACGGCAAACCGATGAGAAACGCGCAACCTTATTTGCAACCATCTACACGGAGCGTACTTATACATGCGCGCAGGTGCAGTCTATGTGTACATGAGGTATACATATATATATATTGTAAATATACGTGCTGAGATTTCCTTTTCCCTATACTTGTATACCTACTTGCTCCTCCACCGGTATACACACGTCAACCTTTTTCTTTTGCTCTCGCCTTCGCGGGTTACCTCCCCCCCCCTTTACCCTATATATGTGCATACGTATGTACAAGCTCCATCTGCAACAAGACAGCATTTGCAAACATATTAGAGTACGGGTATATACCTATGTGTGTGTTACAGGGGAGAGAAAAGAATCTCCTCTCGTTGCTACTACCTACAGTACCTACTAACTCTCTCGGCGAGCAATACTTGCATATATACGTATACATTACACATTAGCAGTGCCCAAGAGAGAGAGAGAGAGAGAGAGATACCTATAAGTCGAACTTTTTGCTTCACTGGCATTTTCACTTTCTAAGCCTGCCGTTACACACGTATAGGTGTATATACTTACTTTACCTTCTAGCCGGCACAAAAATGTACATGTATAACTTGGTGCAGCAGCTACTTACTGCACAACATGTACTCGTAGGAGCGCCTCGCTCTTGTTCTTCTTCTTCTTCTTCTAGTCGACAACTGGAATATTGTAATAAAGTATAATCACAATAGTATCTGGTAGACTGCAGCGTTGTTATATATACTTGGTTGTGCATTATCGATTCATCGGGGGGTCATTGGGCCAATTCGTGCTGTGTGGGATAGAGCACGGCTCTCTTGATCGAGTACATGTATATTTTTTTTGCATCTCACGTACATAAAGACGAGCGTCTGTTTCATCAATTATTTCAACGATAAGGAGGAACTTCGAGTATTGTGCGCAGTTTCACTCTCGTTGATGCGCGTGTTGTACGACAGCTTCAAAGAAAATAATCGGTATATGGTGTTTTAAAAACACATAAATCGGGCAAACTTTATGGTTTCATCTCGAAATCGTCCGACGGATCGAAACAATTTTTTTCTCAAAGCCGGGCTCCTTTCGGCAATTAAAAAAAGCGTCTCGGAACCGCCGATGCGAATAAATCGATGGCACAAAAGAGATATGGACGAGCCAAATACAAAGACATGCATAATATCCGTCGGAGACCAAAAAGTTACCGAATAGCCATTTAAAACGCAGCAGTAGCAACACTCATCTCTCCCCAGCGCGGAGATCGGTAATTACTCGAAATCCTCATCCGCGCGAAAAATTAGCTCTCATGAGCGCACGCGAAAGAAAAAAAAAAAAATAAAAAAAAAATCAGGTCACAGCTCGCGCGAGGAGAGCAAAAGTATAATTCACGGGTAGGTATATAATATGTTGTACAGCGCACGAGAGCGCCGATTCGTGCCGAGCGGCACGTGCAACGCGCACACGACGATCGGCGCCGATCTCTCGAGCATATACACCTCTCTCTGATGGATGTATAATATATATAAGGCAAGAGTGCAGCCTGGCACGGTAAAATCTCTTGGCTCTCGGTTTCTTTTTCTCCCCAGAAAAGAGATAATGCACAAGGAGCAGCTGCACCGACGGACAGACAGAGCGTGTCGGGAGCACGATATGCCACCAGCGATGGTACACACAATTGCTTTCTGAGATTTTGTATATTTATTACAATCTGGGGTATCCAATCTTTTCTCTGGGGTATCCAATTTCATCGCGAGTAATGCGATTTTTGGTCCTGTACCCGGAGAAATCGGTAATCGGACGATTAGCACAGCTGCTGGCTGGCCTTTTTTTTCCGCTTTCAATTAATTAGTTCTGCCTACTAGCTGACGCTCGGAGGGGGAGTTTGTACTAAAATCGTTCAAAAAGTGAAAGCGATCTCCGAAGAAAAATTTACGGGCGCGTGTAAAGTTGTTTTTATTTTAATTATTGATTTTCCAGTCCGAAATATCGGTATGACCCGTACATATATACACCTTTCGGCGAATAAACGCACAAACGGTACTTGCTTCGCGTTTTTTTCGAAAACCCACTATAGAGCAACGAATAAACACCAATGGTATATATATATATATATACACGTAACACCCAGTCGCTCCGTTTATAATCGCGTCCCTGCGATCTGTCCCTGTTTCTTTTCCCGCCCCCTCGTTGAATATACCCACGTATAATATCGCTTTGCAATACCATGGGACTTTTTTTTTTTCTTTCCCTCCACCTTCTCCTTCGTTCGAGCGCAACAACTTTGTTCCCCTCCACCTTATCAGCGCGCGTAGGCAGATTTACGCTCGACGCGACCTAAATCGGCAAAAATACCATCAGGTGTTATTACAATTTTTTTGCTCCCCCCCCCTCCTCTCTCACGTACTCGAGTATAAATACACTCTCATGCCCGTACCATAATGGAGATGCCTTTTTTTTTTCTCTCTCTCTCGTTATGTAATGCATACAATTATGAGTCCGTCATCGTCGCGGCTCTCCGTATTGATGTACCAAGCATTATTTTTTTGTACTCGTTACAATCGCCGACAGCCTCGCTCGGACATACCATCGGATGAATAACATTTTCACAACAATCGATACGAGATCAAAGCCCGTCTCGTGCATGTAATAAACTTAAAAATCGGTTTCTCGCCTCTCGTGTGAGACCACAGTATATATCGGGCTCCGAAATCTCCAGCGGCTTCCGCGCTCTTGCGAGTCAACGCGGGAATATCCGCGATAAAACAGAAAAATTAATCGAAAGGTGCGTGAGCGATGCAAAAATCCTAAGGCGCGTGTGATACACGAACGTTGCGCGATGCATCTGCTCGAGTAAGCGTGATACCGATCCCCCGTGTGAAAATAGGTTTTCTCGAGTGTACATAAATATGTAGTCGGGGAGGGCCGTATATACCTATACACACGAGCCTTGCACACACAGCACGTGTAATATATTTAAGAGCAAAGAACGAGAGGTGCCTGTGCATATATGCCTATCCGTCCATCCATCCATCGGTGAGAGGAGTGTTATAAAACTACGCGCGGGGGTGAGCCTGAGAAACGTATTGAAAAGAAAAAAAAAAAAAAAAAAAAAAAAAAAGAGGCGGGGAACGGCGCGCGACACAAAGAAGGCGCTGAGAGAGACTCGGAGGAGAGTATTAACACATCGGACGGGCCCAGGGAGGAGGGACCCCACACACACACACACCGAGTCTTGTTATACGTCCCATAGAATTTACACACCACAACGGCCGCATATATTTATTGTTGTACATATTATATCCCCCGTGTATTTGTACACGTAGCATCGTAATTATCTCGTACGACGACGTGCAAAAATCGCGTAAGAAATGTATATATATCCTACGGTGCAAATAACGCCATGGTGGGTGTGAATAGGTACTCCGAAGCGGGAGCGGAGGGGGGGGGGAAGTCGAAAGGAAGCCGTTGCTATAATGCACGTGTATGTATGGGTGATGTACACACTGGCGCGCGTGTCTACGTTCGTGTGTGTAAAAAAATGAAATGGGGCATTGGGTGAAAGTAAAGTTGCCCGGCGTGTCGGGGGACTGCCGAGAGCGGCACCGCGGAATCTGCAGAGTCAGTTTCTCAGGAGCAGCCAGCCGAGCCGGTGCTGCTGTTTCTGCAACAATCCAACTCGCTTATATACTCCGCGTTGTAATTTACTCGCTGGACTTGCAAATTAATAATCATTTTTGTAAAAAAAAACAAAAAAAAAAAAAAACGTGCAAGTTGAAAGTGATCGGGGCGCTATCTTGTACGCCCGCGCGCCAGAGAGAGAGAGAGTATCCGAGATGGGGGGAGGAGTCGATTGATCGGCGAGTGTGCAAATTCGTCAGTTTGAACGACGCGGAGCGTAAATTGTCGTCCTCATGCCGACTGCAGTTGAACAGCCAGCCTAGGCTGGCCCCCATCTCTATCATACACCACGAGAGAAACGCTCTTCTGCAGCATCAGCCAACGCCGTGCATACACGTACACAAACATACACACACATAACAAAAAAAAACAAGAAAAAAGTGTGCGCGCGCTGTGTACGACTCGTTCTCTCCGACGATCATGCCGGCGGTGGAGCTGCGGATGCAACATCAGCCGGAGATAAAACGGCGGTGGCGATAACAATGAGTGCCCGTGTATTATCTTCCCTCGGATAAGCGTATAAAGGAGTGCGCGGCGTGAAAACGCGTGGACGCCCAACCGACGCATCCACTAGCCGCGGAGCAGCGGCTCCGAGCAGTCGTCGTGTGATTATTGTATTTCTCGCACTCCCGATCGTAAACAAACAAACTCCGTTGTCGCCTCGCTCTGAGCTACGGAGTTGTGCCTGTTTTTTTTTTTTTTTTTAATTCATTTGAAAAATTTTACGATACTCGTGTCCTTCGATAACAGTAATCAGCATCGGAATATCACCTGTGGCCATGGGGAGGACGAGTGATACTACGCTGTTGTTGTTGTTGGTGACGGTTCTCGGTGTCCTGGTCGGTGTGAGCGAGGCACTCGAGAATGGATTGGCCAGGACACCACCGATGGGCTGGCTCGCATGGGAGCGATTCAGGTGCAACACAGACTGCAAAAACGACCCGGACAACTGCATCAGGTAAGCTATACATACATACATATTGTATGTACGCGTGTATACGTGCATGGGAGAGAGAGAGAGAGCGATCCAACGAGAGCGAAAGTCGTGTGACGTGTTTTGTTTTTCTCTCCACATCGAGTGCTTTTATGCAAGTATACTTACGTACAACTTAATGCGCTAAATCAGCACATACAGGAAGTGACGTTTGATTCGCAGATCCGGTAGTGATCCACTGATTAGTAGTGCATAGGAATAACAAAACTCTCTGCTTTCGTACGATTGTCTTACCACTAATGATTTTTAAAGTGGTTGCCATTCACTTTTTAAGTCTGCAGTTGGGCACACCTATACATTAAAATTACAAATAGTATCCGTTCATCGACTTTCACATTTGTTTTTTTAATTTCGGTCACAGTTATTAGCAATTTTAAGTGATCTCGAAGCTATATTATATCCGCCCAGACGCAACACATTTTTTTTTTCGCGCTCTCTAAACATATATAATATGCGCCCTCACGATCCAATCTCTTGGGTAAACCTCACAGGAAGCAAAACACATACATCGCGAAAGCACACATTACTCATGTCAAAGTTTACGGTATTAAGAAAGTTTAGCAAAATTATACGCCCGGAACGCAATCCACTTTCCATCGTATTGTCGTTGAGTGGAGGCTTTCTGATGGGGAAAAGAACGGTTCCATAATTGTGGCTATATGATTTCTCTCCTGTCCACTTCCTGCAGCTAATACACCGTGTAATTATACTTCGCGTGAACGCGTGTACAAGTTGCTTATGTAAAAAAAAAAAAAAAAAAAAAAAAAAAAAAAAAAAAAAAAAAAAAAAA